AGACACTTGGTACGTAGCTAGGAACTGTTCGAAGGTTTTTATATATATTAGATATATAGTTGTGCCCCTTTAATCAGATGAATCTACCAAAAAAAAAAAAGATACGCTTATCCTAGTAATTTTGATACCGGAAGCGTAAGTTAGCAACGTAGAGTAACCTTTATTAAGGTGATCTACTCTTATGTAATAAGGCTTCCCCTTCTAACTAGCGGGGTGTTCAATCACCTTCATATTCACTTCTCTCCGTCTGGCATGTACGACATGCCAGACGTCACGTGCAGTTTCCACCAACGTGCCACGTGACTAACAGACTAATCCCAGAGGATGGTAACATCCTCGGGAAATAACTGATACAATGGTGTAACAATCCGTCCCAAGGATTACAAATATTTCATATATATAGTCTGTTAGTCACGTGCTCAGATACGAAGCTTAGGGCTCTTATCCTGGCACGTGATATCCGTCTTATCGGTGAGGAGGATGTGCCAGACGGAGAGACGTGATTATACATAGTCTAAGTCGTATGCAAAGGATTTAGGCTTGCAAGGTGACATTGCTATTCGAGGTAGGGTGGTAGTCGCTTCCGACCAATGCCCAAATCCTCCTTACATGGTTCTGGCCGAGGCCTATTGGTATCCAACTCCCAAACGCAAGCAAGTGGCGTTGCTTCTAGCATGGATTCTGACTTAGAGGCGTTCAGCCATAATCCAGCAGTGGGACGCTTCGGACCAATGGCTTCTCAGACAGGGCCAAATACCAATTATCTGAATGAACGGTTCCTCTCGTACTAAGCGCTTTATGCTTATTGGAAGGGCAAGCTATTTTACATGGAGTTAACATCTTAATAAAGATTACTCTCCGATACCAACTGTGCGCTTCCGATTCCTCCTACGTCTTGGCGCCCTTAGCCTCTTCCTGTGTCTACGCCTATCTTGTATCATAAGACACCACCCAGGAGATCACAGATCTCTGAAAAGATCCAGATAAGAAAAGATAGTCCCTTATAACTATACATCCCAACAAGAACCTTCACAAATGGTGTTTACGCTTATCAGAAATAATAAGCGCGTCGAAGTAATATGATGGATCACTAATATTTTGCATATTGTTCAGTGAAAATTGGAGAGCTCGCCAATCTTCGAGAACGAACTAAAGATTTGCGTGTTGATTCATCAACACTCTGACTTTATTTCGGCCTGGGAATTCATGATGGACATACTTTGTCTGTAACGAACTTATGATTGAGTCTGGAGCTTGAATACCGGCTTTGAAATTGACAATATGGATTTATATGTCTACAGATTAGCCCCTGGTGGTGAATGTAACTTTGGTTGACTACCATCTGACCTGACAGAATAGTCCTGAAAAATCGTTTTCCTCAAGAACGTTTCTTGACACAAGTCCATGAGATTCAGGAGAGTCGCCTTTTCTTACTAAGGCCTCTCCCTGATCGTTATACAGTTTTTTGGTAGACTCATACAGCCGGGAAAAACATCGTGACATCTATACACAAATCAGACCTTGAATAATAATGTCACACAAATAAGGACCTTTATTATATTATACTCCTTATTTACTGGGGAGTCTCATATGATGATTTAGTTGGATATGCGGCTCCCTGATTTGAATGCCCACCCAATCAATATTCTGATCATACATGTGGCGGTGTTTTTTTCATTAAAAATAGAAAAAGGTGCGGACAAAATTTGCTGGTGTATGAACATCAGGATCAAAAATGTTTTAATTTGAAAAACCACCATGCCGCTTTCTTCGACTATCCATTGTGTGAAAATTTTAGGAAACTTATATCTGTGAGAAAAACGTTGTACACGACCCGGCCATACTTGATTGAAACCATAAATATTAATTGATTATGCTCTGAATTCCTCCACTACATGAGAATAAAAAGAGCAGAAACAATATTCAAGATCTCATGTTTACCAAGGTGTCACAAGATATCTCCTCATGCATGAAAGGTTATATCTTCGACCTCATGATCTATTTAATCAATGATATGCATTAAACCATAAATTTTAAAGTAAAGAACTCTGTTTGTAATTGTTTGGAGTAGGAAGCATGAAGTACCTGATTGTTTCATAACCCGAAATAATGAATAGTTCATTTCAGAATGTACAAAAAAGTTGCCAAGAACTAGCTTCTATAAGTCCTTCAATTGATGGTGAACTTGAATAGAGTTTACCTGGAGCCTATTGGAAATGACTTTGTTTCCAATAAACATCTTACGAAAACGAGAGGGAGTATTCTGACTGGAGTATACTCCATTTTTTTCTCACCAATGTAGACTTTATATAATATAATTTATTTTATATTTTAGTTTGGGGCCTCTTATTAACACTTAACATTTCTTAATAGGTTGAACAACATATCACATCAAGTAGTCTGATTTAAGATGAGAGTACTGTTTGCAAACAAACAGTTTGTAGACATCTTATATACCCGTAGTAATGCAAGGTTAAATAGCGGGAGAGAATGTAAGTGGACTGATCGATTTTCTTGTTGTTTGCCTCGTGATTGAGAGTTTCTTGAGGTTCGTTGAGCGTTTCTGCAAAAGCATTTACTTGCTTTTGCCCATCATACACATGACCAAGACGACTCTTTGACTTATCAATTTTTCTGGGCTTTTATTACCCATACGTTCAATGTATATCGAAATTGCTTATCTCGGTATACAGTCAAAATACCGATGAGCTAGAGTCTCAATAGATTTCAGACATTGAAAGATTGATGCGAGGAAAAACACTTCTTAAAGACCAGAAAATATCCTACAAAGTGCTTTTTAATTCAAATTAAAAGAAAAAAAACTGCATCCTGAAGTCAAAAAATTGAACTATCCAAAGGATCAAATACAACAATTCAAAAAGAATTGGTCCCTAGCAGGATCGAACTGCTGATCTT